AGTGATCCACTAACTTTTCCTATCAGAGATCTAGACGGACCTGAAAATAGCACCTCCTGTAGTTCCCGCCTAAACAGTATCGAAAGATTGATCTAGAAGCTTTGACAGAGTTTTAGCTCTTTATGTCTGCCACATTGACTTTCTGATGAATAAAGGAAAAAATCGTAAGCCTTTTACAATATCTAGCGCCAGCCGGCCGCGCGTTATTGACATTGTGTAGACCCTTTGAAATTTTTTAAAGCTTTTAAAAACGGCCATTTCTTAGGATCGATGTCCTTAAAGTTAGTTGTTCAGATCATTCAGAGGTTATCGTTTAAAGTTTAGTTCAGTCTAAAAAAGAAATCTGAAAGAAGGTAAATATCTTAAACCTCAGCTGCTTTTCCTAATATGCGAGATGAGTCTGTCCGACCAAATTTTATTTGGTTAGCCGTCAGGGCAGAAACTCAGAATCTCAACGAATCTTTATTTAGTTGCTTATCTTAAAATCTGTTTCAGGTAGGTGATAAGGTGACGTTTGCAGAGCGGCGTCTATTAAATATCATACCTTTATGTTTGAAGCTGAGACCGGCGATATTCCCAAGTAATACGGCAGATGAAGACACAAGTTTTAGTAAGGGAGGGCTCCTGCAGAGATCAATTCACGGACGCTAATGTTGCCTTGAATTATAGTATGATAACCGACAGAGTAAGTTTGTATTATATGATTAGTGTTTGTGAAGTTAAGTTGTAAATCAAGTCGGAGGTTTTGTGATGTATAAGTATAATGTCTTGATAAATGATTCAAATTTCTGATTGTCTCTAAATAGACTTAGTGAAGACAGATTCTAATAGAAATAAATAGTTGAATAACGTATCGACATAACTACGTCATACTCATATCCTCAATAAATGTAATGGATTTGTAGTGTTGTAATTAGTTTAAAACTAAGAATAAGTGTGCAGATGATAATATAGCAATATAATATTGTGCCCAGACCCTCCCAGATCTGCCTTCAGCTCCCTGTCGTAGTCAGGGATTATAAGGAGCTCTATCTACTTATCCCTTTTCAGGTGACGTTTGCAGAGCGGCGTCTATTGAATATCATACCTTTATGTTTGAAGCTGAGACCGGCGATATTCCCAAGTAATACGGCAGATGAAGACACAAGTTTTAGTAAGGGAGGGCTCCTGCAGAGATCAATTCACGGACGCTAATGTTGCCTTGAATTATAGTATGATAACCGACAGAGTAAGTTTGTATTATATGATTAGTGTTTGTGAAGTTAAGTTGTAAATCAAGTCGGAGGTTTTGTGATGTATAAGTATAATGTCTTGATAAATGATTCAAATTTCTGATTGTCTCTAAATAGACTTAGTGAAGACAGATTCTAATAGAAATAAATAGTTGAATAACGTATCGACATAACTACGTCATACTCATATCCTCAATAAATGTAATGGATTTGTAGTGTTGTAATTAGTTTAAGCTAAGTTAAAGTATAAGTGTGCAGATGATAATATAATAGCAATATAATATTGTGCCCAGACCCTCCCAGATCTGCCTTCAGCTCCCTGTCGTAGTCAGGGATTATAAGGAACTCTATCTACGTATCCCTTTTCATTCCTGACCCTGATTGTTGTACGTAGCTGTGACTTGTAATCTTCTCGATTCTCCCAGTTCAATTTCATTTGAACAGCTTCAGGTAGCATTTAAACAACAATTGTTACATGTTTAAATCTGGAAATATTCTTCGATCGTACACTTCTCTACACTGTTTTACACCATACATAAAAAATCAAGAAAACAACAAATTTTGTTGTGCAGCTGGATTGAACGGGTCGGCTCGCTCCGCTCGCCAAGGGCCCCCCAAAGAAAAATCCTGGCTACGTGCCTGTAGTGGATACTAAGTAAAAAGGCTTCCATGAAAAAAATTGCACATATAATATCTCGGTTCGGGATACTAGCCAAAATGACTTCTTTAAAATTGAAATAACTCCAGTTTTTAATATTCAGTTTTTTACTCTTTTTCTGAACTCTAGAATGTGACTGAGGAGTGATTATATTTGTCCTAGTATACTAATTAGCTAATATAGTAATCGGCTACAGACATATCTACGCCTATGTGGGACGCACACTAAAATTAATGGAAATAATTATCGGACTTTATTATTCACGGACCTTAATACCACAGACATTATTTTCACGGACATAATTATTCACGCTGAGGTCTTCAGTGTGAAAGTAATGTCCGTGATAATTATGACCAATAAGGTAGATAACATGCTTGTCCTTGCATTTTAGAGTTCCGTCTAGCACCAGTTCTATGTTGTTGACCATGATCGGGGGGGGGGGGGGGGGGGGGGGGGGGGGGGGGGGGGGGGGGGGGGGGCCAATGACTACTTTTGGGGACTTGGGGAATTACGTCAACGATTTTACCCCGAGTCCCCATGATTTTTAGTCCCCAAAAGTCTCCATTAGTCCCCATTTAGATGATTTTTAGTCCCCAAAAGTCTCCATTAGTCCCCATTTAGATTTATCCTACTCTTATCTTGGACAAAACATCTCGATCGTATCGTTATTAAACTAACTTGAAAACCATAAATAACTGTCAAAAATTCTGGGGACTTATGGGGACAAATGGTGAATTACGTCAACGAGTTGACCTCTAGTCCCCATGATTTTTAGTCCCCATTAGTCCCCAAAAGTCTCCATTGGTAGTCATTGGCCCCCCCCCCCCCCCCATGATCTTTTGAGTCCTTGTCAAAGAGGACGGGGCAAATTTTGCAGCTAGGTCCATTACACCTCTGTAATTGTCCTACATCAAGGGTTTCCAGTTGTCCCAGTTGTCGATTCTTTTCTAGTGTATTACCGATTGAAGGGTGTTTCCTAGTGGCAAATACTATCCGTACATCCCCACATAACATTAACCTAGTAGCTTAATGACCAGATTAAGTTCTTAACCAACTTTGTAAGACTAATGTTATCAAGAGTGTTGTACGGAAAATACGAGGCTCTGTTGTGTCTTATCCTCAGTGTCTCTGGTTGGATTTCCTGGGTTCTCAATAGACCTCTGTATTGCTTTCGGCTCGATTTCTTCTAGTTTGTCACCGTTGTTGTTGTGTCCGCATCTGGCAAGATCCTCCTTTAGTTCGCCCAGGTCCTCTACACATGGTGGGGTTGGAAACTACATATGTATCTGATCTCAAGTAGTTCCTAGCATCTGTTTCCTTTCTAAATAGCTTGTACCAGATCTGATTTTCTGAGTCCAAGCTCAAGGTAAGGTCTAAAAAGTTAACCTTGATTCTATATGGTTCTGCCAGTTTGATTTAGCCAGTTTGTTCAACAATTCGACAAACATTGTAAATTGTCCCGCTGTCCCCATCCACACTCCAAATATGTCGTCGATGAATCTCTCCCAAAAGTTTATCAGGGTCGCACTCTTTATCTTTTTGCTAACCTTTTTGAAGAGCAACCAATGCATAGTAACGTCTGACACTTGTCTGGAGATACAGTTTCCAGTAGTAGGCATGAGGCAGGGAAAATTAGTGTGTGACTGATTTAAGCAGTTGGTCACCAGAGTTCAGTTCGAGTACTAATTTTAAGGAAATTAGTGACGTTTTATTGCTAATAAAATTGATTTGAATTCACGTATTTTTGTTGACGTTAACAAGGCTCATACCTCCCCCTCCTGTCAGCAACCGTCAGCATTTCCAAATACCCTTTTCCCTCGGCTGCTGACGTCATACATGAACGCTCGCTTATGTTAGCTATACATTTTGTAACAGCAACATTTACATTGTATTATGTATTATATTGTATTATGTAATTACATTAAATGACGGGTGGGCGACAATTTACCCCCCGACAATTAACCCCCCGACAATATAATTTAATACAATTAACCCTGACCCTGACCCTGACCCTGACCCTGACCCTGACCCTGACCCTGACCCTGACCCTGATCCAGGACCCTGACCTTGACCCTGACCCTGACCCTGACCCTGATCCTGACCCTGACCCTGACCCTGACCCTGACCCTGACCCTGACCCTGACCCTGACCCAGGACCCTAACCCTGACCACTGACTCTGACCCTGACCCTGACCCTAACCCGATCAATTGACCCAGTGTAATTACATGGGGGTCAATTGTCGTACTAAGTCCTAGATTTCGCGACAATTGACCCTAGTTTAATTACATAGGTAGGGGGTCAATTGTCGGTGGGTCAATTTTCGGGGGGCCAATTGTCGTACTAAACCCTAGATTTCGCGACAATTGACCCCAGTGTAATTACATAGGGGGTCAATTGTCGGGGGGTCAATTCACAATTGTCGCGGTACCTAAATGACATGTACTTTTTCAGGATCAAGTCCACCCCGGCGAATGCCGCGGGCTTCGTACGTCGCTCAAAACGCGTAAATTTTATTTTTAGAATTTCCCTAAAACTCATGTTTAGTCAAATTGCGAATGTTTAGGTTTAAAATTATTTTGTTTTGAAGAAAATTGTTTCATTTATCAAATACCGCAGAGTTTAATTCGATTCAACGTAAGTTGTTCAAGTTATGAGCAATTATGAACAAAAAATGGATAATTTACACGCAAAATTTGGTTCAAAATTTTGCTTTAAAATTAACCATAACTTTGGCTATGATTTGAATTTTGAAAATCTACAACCAATGTGCCGCGCATAAGGATGTTTTGATTTGCGCAAATTTGAAGATATAGGGATGCTTGGTATTTCGCGTTGGATAATAGAACTCTGTTGCTATGGATTCGATTTCAGAGTCCATCTCTTTGCTTCTGCAGTCATTTTTCTTGAATGCGCGTCATTGTTCATTCATTGTAATTGCGCATTGGTCATTGGTAATAGGTTTACGCTATCTAATTTACTCTCGGCCGATCTTTCGTTTACTGTGGCTATTGATTGTTGCTGCTTACAGCAACTATACTGTGTATATCGAGATGATTGGAGATAATGCACCATGAAATTGTTTGATATATAAGCATTTATATCTTAAATTAGCTCGAATATGAGATCACAGCCGATATAATAACGATCGTCAGCCCGTCCGATATTGGAGACTTTGAACGATGGTATGCACTTTATTTTGAATAGCATGCTTTGATTAGATATCCCCATAGTATAAAAATAAAAATACCGTACTTTCAGAACAAGTTATTATTATTATTATCATTAAATCTAAAATAGTTAATAATTTAATTAATTATCAACAGGCCCCTTAACGTGGGCAATACGCTTTGAATTATATAAACAAATTTGAGTATATTTTTCCGAGTTTGCTAATTGTCTCTTTAGATCTGTTTTGGTCTTTTGTGGGAGTTCCCACATCTGCTGGCTGAGAATGCTCATCCAAACATACATGATGCTTGACTGCTTTATTGACCCGGGCAGGCACCGGGGGCAGACATCCCAACACCAGTGCGTTGGGACATAGTGTTGGTCTGTTTCAGGATGTGTTAGATCCCAGAGAAGCCGCCATCTCCTCTTCTGCTTTAGCTCAGCGGCAGTATGAGCCCTGGTTTCCTCCCACATTGGTACCTCTGAAAGTACAGAAAGGTGGTGGATTTCGGGGTCCAGGATCCTCCCTCTTTATTCTTTAAGGTGTTATTATTTCTTTGAGATGTTTGTAGAGTCTTTGTTTTCTAGTCTTTAGTTGGCTAAGTCCTGGAGAGATTCATTCTGTCCTCAAAGAAATTCGACTCTCCTAATGAATGCTTTTTGTGTGCTGCTTTTTGTTAACACTTCATCTAGATAGGAATGTGAGTCTGCCCCACCCAGCTCTTCTTTTAGTTGCAGGTAACTGGTGCATGGGAGAATCGATGAAGCTGTTACAGAAACGGCAGGCCTCACCACTGCCACCACCCATGATCTTTTGGATATTTGCAAAAGTGGTGAGCTGCCGTGAATGTAGTCCATTATTCGGCTGTCCAGATTTTTACTTGTGTTGTGACCGAATAAAAAGTTGTCTTTGCCTAGGATCAGCCCACTGTTTTTAATCTTTCTAATCACACCGAGTATCTTGATCTCCTTGTTGTTACTGACAGTTCTGCATTGCAGATTTGTTTTGATGCTGTCAATCCAGATCTTGTTTTTGTAGCTTATTAATTATTTTGTCTGCCTGGGTGTAATAGGCCAGATCCTTGAAATGTTGCTGCGTTAGGTCAATCAGTCTACTTCCGTGATACTTATTTTCTTTTCAAAGGAAGTACTTTTTCAGTGACATTGTTAAGACATGAAAGCTTGGTATTCTGCTTTCATCAACTTGGTAGAGGGTAGCTGAAAGATTGTCACCTTGTGTGAGTATTTTGCACATGAATTTAACCGAGAGAGCTTCGAGTTGCACATCCAGTGGTGGGAGGTGGAGAGCAAGTTTGGTTAATTCCCTTTGTGGGTTCAGGACTGATCCAGATATTTTTAGAATTACTTTATTTCAGAAGCTTTTAAATTGATTGAGACACTTGTGAAGTTAAATAGGTGCTGCGTAGAACAGTTTAGTGAGGACCATTGTCTTAAGGAGGAGAGTGAGGCTGTAAACATTTAGACCGTAGTTGCGATTAGTTGATTTTGTTATAAGACCCCACTTTCTTTTGCATTCTTTAAGTTTTTGAGACGCATGTTTCTTGAAATTGAGGTCTTCATCTACTATTACCCCAAGGAGGACCTTCGTGCTTTGAACGTATAAGTTGATGCTTTTCCCATTAATAAACAATTCTGCAGGTTTCTGTCCTTCATTATAGGCTGCAGTTTTCAAGATTATAGCCTCCGTTTTATTTGTATCACAGTTCACTACTAGCTTGTTCTTGATGCACCACTTGCTGAGGTGGTCAGATACCATCTGCATTTTTTCATGGCATCCGGAGATGTTCTCGAAGGAAATCATAAGTGTACCGTCATCAGCAAATTTGTAGCAGCTTAGATATCTTTTTACCTCTTCTGGGGTGTTGTGCGTCATGTCTGCTATGTAAAGGATAAAGAGGAGACTGGAAAGGTGAGAGTACAGCCCCCTGAGGTAGTCCAAATATTGTACATTTTCTTTTTTCTCCTTTATAGTTGTTCAATTTTAGACATATCGGTTGAACAGAAAACTTCTCAGCAAATCCTGCCCTCGGTCGACCCTTGGTTTATCCTTCTGTATGGCTCTGAAACATGGACTGTCAGCCAGATCCTCGAGTCGAAAGCGACATCTTTTCGGATGATGATTAATCACTCTACATTCGACTGTCATGTGACTTTTTCAACCCGTTCTCTAGAGTCTAGCTGACCCTGAACAACTATCCGAAACATTAACCCTCTTATCTGATCCTAACCTTAACCCAATCCCTAACAAAACATATTCTCAGGTTGAAGAGATAAAAACGGACGAAAACAGCAGATTTGGAACATTTGAAGCACTACCGTTCGCGTTCCCCTGATCAAGTAGGTCTGAAATTAGCATCGGAAAACACGTAGGCCGGTCACGTGATAAGAACAGATATCATCCAGATAGGGTACAACTAAACATGTCTGTAGAGTGTAGAGTAAACAAAATTAGAGGTGACAATTAAGCCTAATTAAGGAAAAAAGAATTGTGTCAGAATTGTGTCCGATTTGGAAACATGCCTTTGTAGCCGCAATTTACAATTATGCCTGGACTGACTTGAAATCGATCTGGTATGGTCATGGTAGAGGGACATGTGTACTAACATTTCTTAAATGAAAATCTTACTATATTTTCTTGAGTCTTGACACCATTTTAGGGTTAGATTAGACGGGTTCCTGCTAGTCACTATAATGTGTACACGCTGTCAAATGTGATTAGCTGTACAGTGTACAGTGAACACTGTACATTGTACATTGTACATTGTACATTGTACATTGTACACTGCACTGTACACTGTACACTTTAATACGAATTTCTCTGATTGCTTGAAAAGTAACAATGTAACAGTGAGAAACAACAGCTAAAATTGCAGTAGGTAATAGATAATCGCATATGAAAGGAGTTGGCAAGATGCTGCAGAATTATTTGGTATCAATACCAACCGATACCAATCGGTTTCAGCTCATTTTAGGCAATTCTAGGATAATGTTCATTTTTTGTTCATTTTGTTCATTCTATGAATCATAGAAATATTTCACAGGAAGCTTAAAATGTTAGTACTCTAGTTACTGTATCATACCAGTGTAAATCCAACTCTGTTTACGGACATATACAGACAAAAACATGTTTCCAAATCGGACACAAATGTTTCCACGAACTCGGATTCATCTCCTGAGTTGAGGGTTAGATTATACGGGTTAGATTAGACGGGTTCCTGCTAGTCACTATAATGTGTACTCGCTGTCAAATGTGATTAGCTGTACAGTGTACAGTGAACACTGTACATTGTACATTGTACACTGTACACTTTAATACGAATTTCTCTGATTGCTTGAAAAGTAACAATGTAACAGTGAGAAACAACAGCTAAAATTGCAGTAGGTAATAGATAATCGCATATGAAAGGAGTTGGCAAGATGCTGCAGAATTATTTGGTATCAATACCAACCGATACCAATCGGTTTCAGCTCATTTTAGGCAATTCTAGGATAATGTTCATTTTTTGTTCATTCTATGAATCATAGAAATATTTCACAGGAAGCTTAAAATGTTAGTACTCTAGTTACTGTATCATACCAGTGTAAATCTAACTCTGTTTACGGACATATACAGCCAAAAACATGTTTCCAAATCGGACACAAATGTTTCCACGAACTCGGATTCATCTTCTGATTTGAGGGTTAGATTATACGGGTTAGATTAGACGGGTTCCTGCTAGTCACTATAATGTGTACTCGCTGTCAATTGTGATTAGCTGTACAGTGTACAGTGAACACTGTACATTGTACATTGTACATTGTACACTGCACTGTACACTGTACACTTTAATACGAATTTCTCTGATTGCTTGAAAAGTAACAATGTACCAGTGAGAGACAACAGCTAAAATTGCAGTAGGTAATAGATAATCGCATATGAAAGGAGTTGGCAAGATGCTGCAGAATTATTTGGTATCAATACCAACCGATACCAATCGGTTTCAGCTCATTTTAGGCAATTCTAGGATAATGTTCATTTTTTGTTCATTTTGTTCATTCTATGAATCATAGAAATATTTCACAGGAAGCTTAAAATGTTAGTACTCTAGTTACTGTATCATACCAGTGTAAATCCAACTCTGTTTACGGACATACACAGCCAAAAACATGTTTCCAAAATCGGACACACTTTCCGACCAATTTTAAACCGTTCTGAGCATTTTTAGGACAGTATTCATTTTTGTTCATTTTCGTTCATTCCATGAACCTGGATAATTTTAGACATGCAGTGATTCCCAAACTTGGTTTGAGTGGTCCTAGGAGTAATATAAACACTTTCCGACCAATTTTAAACCGTTCTGAGCATTTTTAGGACAACATTAATTTTTGTTCATTTTCGTTCATTCCATGAACCTGGGTAATGTTATTTGAGTTTTGATGGCTCTTAGGCCTAGTTTTTACCTATATCCATCTTAGAAAACCGAATTGAGGCTTCCCAGCACTTAAATACATCCAATACTTCGATGTCCCAATGTTCCCAAAATGGTTACAAAAATCAAAATTGGAACCACCCTCACATCGGTTCTAGACATGCAGTTATTCTCAAACTTGGTTTGAGTGGTCCTAGGACCAATGTAAACACTTTCCGACCCATTTTAAACCATTCTGAGCACTTTAAGAAGAATGTTCATTTTCGTTCATTTCTGGTCATTCCATGGGTAATATTATACGACTTTTGATGTCTCCTAGGCCTAGCCTACAGCTATATCCATCTAAGAAAACCGAACTGAGCCTTCCCAGCACTTAAATACAACCAATACTTCGATGTGCCCATGTTCCAAAAATCTGGATTCTCAGGAGGATTGTTGTCCCAAAATTGGAACATTTTGGAACATTGGTAACATCGGTTCTAGACATGCAGTGATTCCCAAACTTGGTTTGAGTTTTAAACCATTCTGAGCACTTTGAGAAGAATGTTCATTTTCGTTCATTTCTGGTCATTCCATGGGTAATTTTATACGACTATTGATGGCTCCTAGGCCTAGCTTACGGCTATATCCATCTTAGAAAACCGAACTGAGCCTTCCCAGCACTCAAATAGGCCAATACTGCGATGTGCCCATGTTCCAAATTTATGGATCCATCTACTGGCATCTTCTGGATTCTTCGAGAATTTGATATAATTACAAACAAACAAATAGAGTTTTAGCGCAGCGCTGTATTTTTGAGCCGCGCCGCGCCATTTTTGGTGGTAACACGGCGTCTGCAGTACTCTTTTCTTGTGTTTGAAGTGATATCTCTAATTTGGCACATAGAAATTCACCCAAACTTACACAGATTATCCGTTCTATAACCACCTTACTTTATGGAAAGTTTCAAGAAAATCGTACGCTAAATCACTGACTATTATAGGAGTATAATTGTATTGTATCAGATTCCATCTTGGAGAAGGTGGTCTCCCGATTCAAAATGAACAACTAGGAGTTTGAGATAAGATGTAAGAGGGTCTTTTAAATAATTACTCTATCATTATATTTTAACACAATAGCTATATAATTGTGATCTAAAATTAACTGAGATGGATATACTTATTGTTACATTGATATTTCAGGACTCGATCGCTGATATTAAAATCGAAGAGTTAGAATTAATTGGGACACGGAACAACTATACTCTTTGAAGCCTGGAAAATACGATAGATCTAGTTGAGACTCAACAGTCAATATAAGTTATGTGGGGAGAAAATGAGCTACTGGACCCTCTTAAACAGCGACTTTTTCAAAAAAATGTAGATGGTCAACGGCTGGCATCGAACCAGTCATCTCTGGTTTCGGCCTAGGAAATTAGGCGCTCAAGCTAGTCAGGCTGTTGAAGTGGGCGATCTTGTGTGGTATTTATATAGTCATAATATGTAATGACTAATAGTGTGAGATCTATTTTAAAGATTCGAATTACTGTTTGATGTATATAACTGTTCAATGTTTTTGTTGCATTAAAAAAGAAGCTGCGGATTAGTTTCAAGATCCGCCAGTTTTAAATTTGCTAAGCTAGTCTTTATATTAACTGTGAGTAATAGTTAAATTTTGATATTATACTTATATTTATTATTGTAAAGCTGTAATATTATGCTATCATGATGTTTTCTCCTAATTATAGCTTGCATACAACATTATATACTTTGCTGTGATCAGGAATCACAATTGACAATACTTCTTTAGTGTAAATGATTGTACGCGATTTGAAGTCTTGATTTGATTTCATTAGGACCTCCACTTATGTTCGGATGACAGAATTTGATGTTTTATTTTTCATTGCCACTATTGCAAATCATTTAAGGAAAGGAACTGTAGTTCTCTTATATCCCCAAAAGGTTCGTAGCTGAAATGACAACCAATCTTCTGACGAATTTCTGTCTAAAAATTTCTGCGACACGCGTAGCAACAAGAAGCCCGCGGCATTCGCCGGGGTGAAGTCAAAGTCAGGCCTGCAGCGACGAGCCCCTTTCTTTCGGATTGTGAAGTGTAATGTTAATGTTTTATGTAGCTGTTTAACGTCGAAAATTGTTAGTTTGTAATTTGTAATTGTTTTTGAGAAGCAAAATAATTAATCTGAGAAGTGTTTCCAGTTTTATAAAGCTCAGGCATGGGCACCGTATTGTTTATTTAGTTATATTTTATACAATATCTTTGACCTTTGTCGCATTAAGTTGTAGTACTACTACTAGTAGCCGGGTAGTACTAGTAAATACTGAATACTGTGTTTCGTTTATTCTATAAGTATATAAATATTGCATTGTGTATCTTTGTCGCATAGTACATAGTATAAGTTGATAAGTAGCGAGGTAGTTAATACTGTTTCGTGATGTATTTTGATCGTACAATCTTAATTATTCGTATTATTATACCGCAATTCCTGTATTTTATCGTCTAAAAGTGAACAATACCAAATTAAAATAAACAAGAGGCATTTATAGCCTTCGATAAGTATAAATAATCGCACACGATGTACGTGCACCCGGGGTTAAATACGACGCAATTGTCAGCACTGCGCGCGCGCACACGTACCATCTTATGTGTGCTGATCTGTATGTGCCTATCCTACTTGTGAAACAAGCGCGTCACGCAGTACGCGTAGGCACATGGCTATGTGAAATTGTTAATGGTCTGGCCCGGCGCGCGCTACTTCGTAGCACTTGCCGTCGGGCCAACATTTCGAGAAGAAAGCGGCGCGCGCTACTTCGAAGAAATTTAGACGAGTAACATCCGTCAAGGTGAGGCACAATGGTGCATCTCGCCGATCTACCGAAGAATTATGGTTGCGAGAAGAATTATTTGATGCGCGGCGCGACCCAGTAGTGCATCGCGCTACAAGATGCTTTCTTAATTCGCAGAGAAACGATCTGGAAGGGTTGACATCGTTAATCAATTATATATTTGCTAGTCCGTAGTCTATTACTCCATATTATGTTGTCCTTATAGCTTCTTGTATGTTTATAACCTACCAAAACGCGCGCTGAGTTTCGAAAACAAATATTTTACAAGTATCACCCGTTAAATAGCTTCCTGTTCAAGAAGTATGAAAAGAACGCCGCGCACAGGGATTGGCGAGCCAGGTAAGTTATCGAAAGGCCGTAGGTCCAAGTAAAACGCTGCTTGAACATTAAAACCAATTCCAGAGGTCCCTTACCTGGGGACCCCAGGCTATTATGTTCATAAACAACGATTAGGGATTAGGCGGAATGATTGATTCACGATGTCAATCCTTCGCAGCTCGGTGAGGCACAGTGGTGCATCTCGCCGATCTACCGAAGTGTGGTTGCGAGAAGAATTATTTGATGCGCGGCGCTACCCAGTAGTGCATCGCGCTACAAGCGGAATGACAGGCTGAGCGCGGCCCAGTAAGAGGTTCCCAAACACTAAAGATTTGATTGTATCTTCGCAATCTCGATTCAAGCGAATTATCGTGAAACAGTGACTGAGGGTTAATTGATGAAGGAGACTGCCAAAAATTTTTGTGAAGGTTCACAACCTCAGTTAATCAGTTGATCAATCAAGTTGTAAGTATATTCTAATCAAGCTTAATGTTACCTTGAATGATTTATGTTCCCCTCAAATGTGTACTGAAGGATGCCTCTACAGAATTCGAGATCAACATTGTGCCAACATACATTATAGCCAAAAGTTGTGACCCTGAGGCAGACGAGTTCTTTTCTATATTTAACTGACACTGTTATGTCAGGACAGCGAAAAATTGTAAGTTCAGGCTTGGCCAAGTGTAGATAGAGAAGCAACACACAAGTATGAAAAAGAAAGAACTTCAATGTTATGTGTAGCAGCATAGGTGAATTAGAATTGAAAATTCGTCATTATAATGATTATATCATGTCTGAACAGTCAAGAAAACAACAATTTCAAGAAAACAACAATTTTATTTAGTATCAGTTAAAGCAGACAAAAACATATTTTATAACTATAACTAGCGCGAACTTTAGACCATATATCTTAGGGGACTTGGAGTAGCAAGAGAGTGACCAGAAAGTATATATACTTTTACCAAAAATACGTTGAAAAGAATCCAGGGTGATACAGGATCGGAGAGTGCAGACCATAAAGTTTACGCACCCACCCTTGCCTCCTGAATTCTTGGTTGGATAGACAATTATGCAAAATTGGTCGTCAATATCAAACTTAATGGGTGATACTCGTAAAATATCTGTTCCATACAGGACCGTCGACAAGTCCAACTCGGCGCGCGTCCTGGTAGGTTGTAAACCTACAATATCAGACTAACAGTGGCAATATGATGAACCCGCAAGGTAATCGAGAAATAAAATTTAGAGAAACAAAGTTTAGTTTTATTGACAGGTTCTAATCATTGGCAATGACTGTTGATGCAATCATGTAATTCTGGTAACACCAAAGGAAAATATTACTGCTCCAGAACATAAAAGCTATATGTACCCAGAAACATATTGTCTGAAATAATGATTATCTCTAGTAGGGTCTTCGGAGGCCTTTGCTGATCCAAGAATAATTGTTAGTTTATATTATAGCTTTTAAGTCACTTGGTCGTTTTAACCTCAGTGACTTCGTGTTGTCCCCAGGCCATTGGAACCCTACTCTCTTATTAATTATCACTGTATTTATTTAGCCTTAAATTATGTTACCAGACTGGTTATATTTACTGCTCTAAAATTAGAGGTGGGCTAGGTGGCCTAGTGGTTAGAGCATCCGCCTTCTGCGCAGGGTTCGAATCCCAGTGTCACCTAGTCTAGCGAGTAGTGAAGGATCCATTGGATCTATGCGTTCTCCTCGGTCGACTAAGCCGAATGATAGGAAACTTAATTGAGGGTTAAATGAGGAGGGGTATCTGTTAAAAGTTCAAGAAACTTCCTAAGATACTTATTCAGTGCATACTGTAAACATAGTACTTTAACTATTACTAACTATTAACTATTAAGAAATTTTTAACTGAATTGTCTTAATGGAAATAATGATTATTATTCCAGCCAATCAAAGTTTTGATTCTTTAGAAGCTTACTAACATTTTGAAAAACCTACTAAAGGATGTTGAACGGTACCTCATACAAGTCGAACCGTTACCTGTCCCCCAACACCTCCCACAACATCCTACCTGGTAGCTCCACTACTACCAGCGAACCCTTTCTTCCCTACACAAACAACAGTGAGTAAACTTTATATTGTATTATTGTTATTTCTGATTGGTATTTGCTGTCTGGCAAATCTTCTCTATGACTTTGCTGGTGTTACTGCACAGTGATAAATTTTAAATTTGATAAAACCAGGTCAGTGTAGTGCAAATTTGTAGAATTTTTAACAGCATGAAAAACAGGGCTCTGGTTATTTTGACCTGGACAACTAGCAATCATATTTGTTATCTTCAGGAGATAATAAACATTCAGTGTTCCAATACCCAAAAACTGAGTGCTTTGAGCAATGTTACAAGACTAACCCGGCTGCATTGCCTCCAGCTCAACATGGCAAAGGTATTTATTGACATTTCAAGATGTATTTTCATCTAGTTTAATTTCACATCTATTTAAAAAATGTATAGTACACCTTTAGTGAATTATTTCTACGTTTTCCTTGTTCCATCATAAGAATTTCTCTAGAACTTGCGGATGAGGGACTCATCGTGGATTTGATTGGCACTTGCAGGAGTCTATATCTAACCAAAACATTGCATTAGATTCACATGGTAATTGATCATTACTCAGCCATCGGTCATTACCCAGCCACTCAGCCAACTGCTTCAGGGCTGATTCAGATCTTTGAGCACCTTTATTATACTAATCTACAATTATCATTATCGACAAAGTCATTAGTTCCATTAGTTGAAATGACAGGTACCAACAACAAATTACCGCTCATATTCAAGTCTGATTCAGTGGTATGCCGACTGTCTCTTATAGGGTGAGGATATATATCTAGACAGTGTCCCTGAAGTTCCTGTGAATATTGTCTGAAATGATTACGGAATAATAACATGCCAAGTTATTAGCTATTGTCAAGATACAGAATTGATGATTCCGAAGTTCCGAATAATGAGTCGCATTGATAGTCTAGTTTTCAGGGTCTGGATTCTTGTGATATTAGATTTGTGAACATGATATGAATACTGATCGTTCGTCTATTATCCAATTACAATATTGTCATAACTTATGCCTATGTTGTTTATGCTTTGTACTGATAAGCCGGAAATAACGGAACTATTGACCAATTTGGCTCGTGATTTGAAGAACTCACCCTGAAGTCCTGTGTCATTGTGTGTCCTAGCTCCACAAGAAGCTTGTCTTTCCAGTTACAATATGCTTCATTATTCAAGTTTTAAAACTTTTACTCTGGCTATTTGGCACAGGGACAATTTGGCACGTGTTCTTTAGTATAGATAATAACTTCTTATTATTGACTCGTTTGACTAGTATAATGTCAATATCAGACATATATGTATGATATCAATCAATTGTGAATCAATAAATGAAGATAAAATTACCCCACAGAGAGGTCTAGAGGGGGTCCAGAACCGGACGACAGTCTGACCAACATGGAGTGGCTGCCAGAAGTCTCAATACCCTACATGCAGCAAGTCAGATGTAAGATCTCTCAGGAGGACATGAAGAAAATGCCAAGAAAACGGAACAGGAACGTCCCTTCTACTAGTGGTGAGTTGGAGTTGCTTCTCGGTTGTTTAGGGGCTTATGTTGTTATATTCAAATTCTGAAAAAATGTGGGAATCATCACCGCGCCGATTCCATGAACACGAGAAATCTTATAATTATAAAGACGATCCTTGGTGTTGGTTGAAGAGGTGATTCTCCAACCAAATCTTACGTGTATTGGTATGAACTAGGACAGTACGAGTGCACGAAGTTACAGAGCGTGGAAAAATATATAATATTTTGCGTGAAATTGTAAACAAAAGGGTGATAATTCCACATCACTATCATCCCCCGGGAGTTACGGCCCCGACTGCCGTGCAATTATTTCAAGTAGAATTGTTTTGTTTAAAAACTGAGAAATTCTTTTTATTGAGGAGAAAAATTGCAAATATGAGCTGCTATTAGTTCATAAATGTTACAATTTTATAAATATCTCCGGGATTTCGACGCGGGATCATATTATCACTCAGCCCGGCCCGCTGTTAGATAAACATCTCAAGGTGATATCATCCCGCCCCGGAAATTTGTATAAACCCGGCCCGCTTTTTAGTCGTAACTGATGTTTATCATCAATTCTCCGACTTACAATAATCAATGATACTGCTGATTAGAACAGTTAGACGCGCGATCACGTGGGCGCGTCACGTGCGTACCACGTGCCACCAATAGCATACGCCGAGTCTATACCACGTGACACGAAAGCGCACCACGTGATATGAAACATCGTAACCGTCCACTTCTTTTACACGCAAATTCCTGGGAACGTTGCCAAAGCAGCTAATTCTTGGAATTTCTCCAACGCGTGGCGTGAGAAGTTGGCGACTAGCCAGCTACCCTTATCCGTGCCCTAAAAATAGTATTGTTTTGCTTGCTCTCCTTCCAGCTCTTGTTCCTGCTAACGTTCAAGCTATTGCTCCACTATGACAGATCGGTTTGACATTCAGATTGATGAACTGAATCCCTTGTCGAAATCGCCGGAGATAATTATAATCCATAAACACTTCACGCTCAGGGCTAAATAAATGTAATCCCTCAGCTGGCGCTTCGGGATTACATATTAACACAAAACTCGTGCGCTGCGCGCACTCGTATGTGTTTATCAGATCATCCCGCTAGCGCGGGATGATCTGTTATATAAACCCTTTGCGTGGCGGGTTTATGTTATTGTATTTTGCTCCTTACTCAAAGTAGACTTTTGATGAATTTTGGCTCTTTTCTAAGAAATTTACAATCTCTTTTCTACGAGGTTCCAAAAGAAGACAAAACCTGCAATTGTACTATGTACTGAAAAATCTCGAGACTTCAGGTCTCGGATTTTTGATTAGTTCAATCCCGTACACAAAACTGTCCAAGAACAATGCAATTAATCATCTTAAACGATCCCTAATTTGAATCCCCTTGTTCTTGCAAGCAGTTCCAAAAGGTCAACATAAAGCAAATACCCCTGACAAGACCCGCTCTGTGGCATTCTGTGGTTTGTCTATGGCCTATGCAAATAGTGCTGAGTAATTATTGAACCCTAATACCTGTCCACTAAATTGGTTCTTAGTCAATGCATCACGGGAAACCGCAATTGTCACTTTAAGTATCCGCCATTCAATGAGGGGCCCTCGTTTTGTATAGTGCTACCAGATTACCAGGTCGAACCTTGAACCCTTTGGCAAAGACAGCACAACTATTTCACCACATGAAATACAGCATGAACTACCGTCTATAGATCTGGTCAATGGTGGGTAGGTGAACTGTATCTGTTTTGACACATGACAGTGATTCTGAGCTTTGATTGGCCAATACTGGAAGCTGATTGGTAAATCACTGTCATGTGTCAGATATAATATACCTTCCCACCAGTTGCCAGATGAACACTACGTGTATATAATACTACACACACAAGTTAGAGTGCAGTGACTACTCAATGTGAAGCACCCTTTGGGTTGATTTTGTCTGAAAGTGCACCGTAATGACTCACCAGGGCTCAAAGTGTCTATAGATCTGAGAACACCTTGTTCATGGTGGACATTAAACTCTAATTTTAGGAAGGGCCGAGTGTTGGTGAATGTAGCACCTTGCACTTTCTCCGAGAAAGTGCACATTCCAGTCTAACTAATAACTAGATAGCAGGAAATGTTTTTTCACTTTTAAAAGCCCTAGTTTTTCGGGGGGACGCAATTAGCCCCTGGCTTTTTATCGTAAGCTGTGTCATTTGTCAAACACCTTGACGCCGACTTCTTGCACTTAAATATTAAATAGCTTAAACTACAGAATTTTAAGATATTCATTCAAATTCAATCATTGAAATCTCGACATTTATTTTCAATAAAGATAAAACAAAGCCTTGACATTAAAAGCAATTCACATTTTACCATCTCCCTCTACAGTAGGTCGACACTTAATAGCTAATCATAGACAACCCTAAGTGTGCCAACTTAACAATACACTTAATTTTAATGACTTAATTACTCTCAACACTCGTGCACCACAATTACAAAGCCATCAATCAAGATCTTTGACCGAGGGCAGCCAATCAGGAAGCAGTATTTACACCACGTGACAGGTGATTTGTATCACGTGATGCAGGATGTGAGGCATGTTTATTTGTCAATGATATCCCTTAGGGGCCTGAACGGCACTTATTGGGCCTTATTTCATTATCGACTTCTCAATTGGAACACTGTTACCGTTTGTATTTGATGGTACAATGTTATACTAATTGGTAGCTAGAACGTCACACGTGGGAAAATATTAAATTTATCCGCTTCAGCTGTCTCCTCCCCCCAATTACAACACTAAAAATTTAACACATTTATTCAGTATAATGGAATGGAAAGGTTTTAGCCAGGTTTAGCCAGTCCACACCCTGGCTACATAATATGAAGGACTTGTTTTAATGCTAAATGAAAAGCTCGTATAAACTCAAATTAACCTGATCATCAACTCGAACTAAAATAAAATGAATGGTTATGCACACGATCCGCTATCTTTTTTAGCAGCTAATTTTTTAAGCAGCTAATTTTGATTTCAGTATATGACATACATATAACAAAACCGCTCTAAAATAAAATAACAGACCAACCTTATTTGATCCGGTATGTTTCAGGAGTTAAAGCATGTGCTACAAGTTACAGAAAACCAGAGTACTCGTACGCAATGTTAATATTCAAAGCTATCAACGACACAGAGGAGAAAAGAATGCAGCTGTTCCAGATCTACGAGTGGATTGAGAATCATTACCTCTACTACAAACAGAACCCTGGAACTCATTGGAAGGTAAATATTCGGGAACCGACCAGATTATTTGATTTAGCTGTTGTGGTGAATATCTTGTCGGGAAAAATGGAATCTGGAATGTTGATGGTATCTTGAAATCAACTATTTATTCACCAATCACGACTTATTAAGATTTTCTAAGGGAAGTTAAATCAATATCATTGCTCGGAAATAACATGACTCCCTGAATGGCCATTTTAAAACAGCGATCCATATTCTGATGGCCATTGCTTACTATTTTCTGGATACAAGTTTTAGGACCGATTTTTCCCACAGTGTCCATAAAAACATGAGTTAGTAACTGTGAGCGTTCTAGAAACTCTGCAAAACGTCCCCTCAAAGTTTCTCCTAATTAGCATCTCTCATTAATTAGGTATAGCTAACAATATGTAATAACCCTCCCCAACCTGACTCTAGCGTACAATGTGCCCCTTCAGCTGCTAAACTATTTAAATTCGACCCACAAAGCATGTCTCGTTGACTACTCACGTCACGTGTCACCAAGCTCTTGTCTGATTGGCTGGAGATTGCTCACGTGATTGGAGGTGCGTGTGTTGATTAGTTCACGTGGGTAGCCATGGGAACGTGTCCCCCTGAGGGGAGGAGTAGACATTGGTGTGAAGAACGCCTCCATGTGCCATGTTTCAAATACCACTCAAATATTACTAGAGACCCCCACGAGCCCTAAACATATTCCAGACATTGTTAGAATATTTGAAACACAGTTTTTCACTTTTTTGCCCAGAGGGTTTTATGATAACTTCTGATAATTATGTCAATGAAACCCAATTATGTAAATGGGAGAGTCTCTCAATCCATCGAACACTTTTACAATGTTGTACTGTTCTAGTATACTTCCAAAGAGATTTAGAATTTCAGAACGTTTCAATTCAACGAATGTTTTTATGTTTCAACTTTCGACCAAGAAATTTGTTATGTTACAACTTAGAGCCTACATAACTAAGTTTCGTGAGGAATAATGTGAATAATTATGTGAAAATTCTTAGACTGAGCACATCTATATTCCATAACTGAAAAGATCAAAAGATAAAATTTGATGTTGGTAAATCGCTCAATATGTGATGTATTAATTATACAATATACATTACAAAATTTTAGAAGTTACAATATTAAGAACATTCTACCGCAATCTGTGAAATTTCACCAATTTTATAACATTATCCCAATTAGAAATCCAGCCCGCTCGCAATCTGTGAAATGTTATCCAACCACTCCCATCTGAGTCGATAATCGTATCAGTGAGCTGTAAATTCCAGAACAATTGACAGGGAAATCTATCTGAACTAATGGCACTCAATCAGTAAAAACTCTACAATTCTCTTACAAAGACCAGTTTTTGGCACCCATATCATATTATATTGTTACAGCGTATTGGATATCACGTGGTCTCTTGTCACATGTTCGTGTAAATAAGAAGTGTCGAGGGAAAATATATTTGGTGCAAACTCAGATCCGTGTACCCACCAAACTTTACACCGTTCTCGTCAATTCCCCTAATTTATAACTAAACTTCTGACTTCACGCCGCGCCTGGCAGCCTGACAGCCTGGCTGCATAGCCAAGATAGCAAGTCCTCTAATACTCCACAGTGCTTTACAATTGCACGTGACATGTTACCATAGTCACCTCGACAGTTGAACGTTTGATAGAGCGTGTGCTTGTAAACATGGCTATCAAGCAAAGACAGCCCCACGTTCTGTTGAAGTGTATCTATTATAATGGGAGGAGTGGGAGTAGCACACTTCTCGTTCATTTTAGTGGCTATTTTAGTGGTAGGAAGTGATGTATCACAGGTAGGTGGTGCACGTTTGTTTTCACACGTGACAGCCCTTAACCACGCAACTTGCAAGGGCAACCATTCTCATCTACCGGTTGAACTATCGTTTATCTCACTGTTCTCACAAGTTCCCTAAATTTACTGCGACAATTCCAAAAGATGAGCCCATATTGACACAATTTAACACCTTAAATAAGTTCCGTGAAAAAGTTAATAAAAGAATATGGAATAAATAGTATGGTTGATTACCTCAGCATGCCAAAAGGGCTGCGAAAGGGCTGCATGTTGTAACTGCCCGATATAGTGAGACATGGTTATTTATAGCCGGTTGCGAACCGTTAGTTCCCGTTATCCAAGCTGACTGATTGGGCGTATTTAAGCGAGGTGATCTAATTAAGTTTAACTGATTGGAACGTTGTTACCAGGACTCTGGTCGTTAACCGTCTCAACAGTTTCAATCATTTAGCTTAAATCTCTATGATCTGCTAAAAGGTTGTTACATTTTAAGTATTTAATTAGCTATTTAGCGAGATCGCGCCTTTTTCAAAAGTTACAACTTGCCATGATACACATTGGACTTGGAAGAGTGTAATTCGCTGTACTGAAACACGATGTAGCCCACGAAGTAACAACAATTTTTGTATAATTTCAGCTAAAAATTAATGATTAATTTCAGTAGAAATAAATTGAATGACTTAGTCAATCCTAATCATTTATATTTTCAGAGTTCTATCAGGCACAATTTATCGCAGCACAAGATATTCGTGAAAGAGCTCCCCCCACCCAGCCTCAAATCCAAAGGATCGTTCTGGGCACTAGACCGCAGAATGGCCGAGAAGGATCTACTCTTGCAAATTCAACCTAAACGTCCTCGACTCTCCCGGATTTCGGTTGGTTATTTAAAATCGTATAATATTTTCATATTGTATCATAGCTACACTTTACAAAATGTTACGATCAATAATATTGATGAGTACAATTTCCTTTTTTTGCGAAAATTGTAAATACATCTGACATAAAACCCTATCTTAAAGTTACTATCCGAGGCCACTCCTCTTCAAATCGGCGGAGAATTTTCTTCGATATCGATACCCTTAATTTCTTGCGAGTGTAAGCTCACTGTAAATTTCAGTCAAAATATTTGACTGCAGTTCTATAATAGTGTGATAAAACAGTTGAACAACCACAGCTGGTGATTATTAACTTTGGCTCTAGAAGCAGCCCTAAGGGGACTTACAAGCCTACATGTGCGGCCTCATTAATATTATAAGCCATTGTAGTGCGATACTATTATATAATATATGTGAATTGAGGGACTGCAGTGCCGGCCCAAAACTTGCTAAATGGTCCGGACCAGGATCCCATGTTCCTTGAACGTTTTGACACCTTTTTGCCAAGAAGTATATCTTTGTGGCAGTACAGCTAAAATGTGCGATGATTATGATTAGTGTTGCAAGCTGGTACGGGGTGCTGCATTGTCAACAACTCATCATTAGCTGCCATTTAGACCTGTAAAAGTGCCTTCTCCTATTTGGCCCCTGTATGATCGTGTTAATTGCACTGTCTTTTTCATTTAATAATTGGATAATCACTATTCAATTAGAGGGTGGTGCAGCTCTGTCCTGATTGTTATATATGCCGTTTTATTGTTTACTGGCCTGAAAAGGAGTAAGGTAACATAACCTATTAGAGACACATGCATATGTCAGCTAATCGTATTATATATTATGCTTGGCTGCCCTAAATGGTAACAGTACGTGATATTTAGTGGTAACTGTACGCCATTTTGTGTGGCGGGGCAGTACGCCGTACGGGGCAGTACGCCGTGATAGTAGTTTATAATGGAGTTCTTTTTTATCAGAGGTTTAACCAATGAGTAAAATTACTGGCATACAGAAATACTTGACAACACATGCATATTGAAGAGTACTATAAATATTTATGCTGACCCTTCTCGTTTCTTTTATAATTAAACTGTTTTGTAACTGCAAATTCTCGGTATTTGTGGAAGTTTGCCAGAAATAAGTTTAATTAACTTGATTAGTTTGATTAAGGTAGATGCAGGTTATAGTGGCATTAGGAAGAATTTGGGCGGAACGAAACAAAATCTTTGATGGAGAAAGAGAAGTGGACGGTGGAGTAACGGTGGATACAAAAGGACAGTATTTTTAAAATATGGGGTCATTTGCAGGCGGAGAAGGGAGTAATGGGAAATATTAGGGGAAAATCATGACGAGGGTGAGAAATTCAAGCTTTGAAGGAAACAAGCACTTGACTGTGGAGAAATGAGTGAAGTGAGGGCAGGCTAGGGTTTGTTTGAGATATAGTGAGATAGTTGTGGGTATGGGAGGGAGATAAGGGAGAACCTCATGTGAGAGGTGATAAAAAGGGAGTTACGATGATTCAAATTGTGAGATGGTATGCAGATTTTGATCTGATTTTGCATTGTATAGAATAAGTAGGATAGCGAAGAGAATTGGAAAGTGGACCAGTCTTGAAGATTTTCAGTCTACAGAGTTGAGCACTATTAATTCGTAATTTGAATAACGTTGAATTTTAAGATCATCAGATTTTAGGGTTAATGTTGATAATTTCGAGTTGAAACACTGTCACAAGTAATTGGTGAACCCAATTAGTTAATTGCCGATTGCACGTGCAGATTCGGACTACTGTCAATCTAAATTATGACGGTGGACGCGAAAATTGTCACGCCAAACACAATGTTAGAGACTAGAGTGCCTTTTTAATCATCTAGTGTATCAGTGAGATTTCGCGCGCAGTTGAGGCGCGCAATTTAGCGGCACCTTCGAATAACGAAATCGTACCGGTCGATCTATTTTTAGCGATTTTGAATTTCATTTGCACCAAAATTTGTGGCTGATGCTCCCTGGATTTAAAGATTACGTAATAAGTTGGACTTCTAACGAATCAATCCAACCAGTAACTCACTCTGGTTTTAGATGTTCTGAAGATGAGTGCGTAGTACAGACTACAGTTGGCAAAAACCGAGATTATTTCCGAGTATTTTTTTTCCTTCGATGTACTCTTGTTCTGTTACTACAGTTACTACACTACTACAGTTGAACTTTAAGTTTAAGTTTATATTTCAGAATGGAGAGTCAGCCTGCGTCAATGGTCGCATCTCCAAAGGACCCTACTGCGCTGTCCTTCCTCACTACAACCCGCACCCAAACCACCACCAGTACAACCTTCATCCTCACAGACAGCCCCTTTACCAGCACGTGCGGAACGTGTCGCGCGGCACTCAGCACGTGCAATATCGACAACCTCCACAGCGGGTCCAGAACTATCCAAACAAACGGGAAGAAAAACCTGGAGAGGTCCATACTTATAGAAATAGGCCCAACATACTATCTAAGGTAAGGTCTACCATAAGGAAAGAATTTATCGATTAATAAATGGACATAGGCACACATTTCGAAGACTATATTTCCAAATTGGATGAGAATATATTTTCCATGATTATTTGTATACCTCTCTAAGTGTCTGATCTAGTACATATCACCAGGTAGTTCGACGGGACGAGAAAGATACAAGCTCACCTCCCGGAACCTCACTCCTGAACCTCAACCAACTCTTCCACACCAACAACAACCTGGAGAACATCTCCCCTGGCAGTAGTTCCTACGAGAGTGGCTACTCCTCCAGCTCACTTAACGACACTTCCAATAACTCCCCTAAACCCAAATCTTTCGTTTGCTCGACACCCGTTAAGAACGGAGTTTGGAGTTCTCCAGAGTTCGGTGGATTCAAGAGTAGTCCCCAGATAACATCCTTCCCGCTGTCAGGTGAAGAGCTGCCTAATCTCTCTCACTACATGGCTCCTGCTGCAGATCCACAGTTACAATCTTGTGTTAAAGAAGAAGAAAAGGTTGAGCCCTCCGGTGAGTTTTGGTCCCCAACTTACGGTAAACACCAAGTTTTCTTCTCTCCGACAAAAGGGGATGGAAAACAGCCAAGATACGAGGTAGAAGGAGAAGTCACAGTTCCGTTTTGACTCAAATCGCAATGAGTGACTCATATACCGCCTTCCCTACCGCGGAATCTCCTTGCATCAAGGAGGAAATAGATGAGGCAAAGGAGGTTGTCCTAATTGAGACATCTCAAAGGGTGGATTCAAACGACACTGACGCCAAGGAAGAAATTCAGGAGGTAAAGGAGGAACCGATTGATTGTTTGCCCGGGCCAAAATCAGAAGACAAGAACTGTGACATAGCTGATCTGATCACTCAATTTATTAACGAGGGGGAAGTATGCATGCTGAACGGAACTTTTAGTACCACTCCATTACGACAGTACTTGACCGAGGAAGAGAGCTCTCTTGCATTAGATCTTGACAGTCCGAAACGCTCCAAGAAGAAGACTCCTATAAGAAGATCACTAAATGAGGAAATGAAGTGACTAAGTGATAGGGGATAACTATTCGGGATTGGTTAAGTTAATAGTCAGCCAAAGCTCACCATTTGAGCATTAATAATTTTCTGCACAAATATTCGTTGATAGAAATGAGAAAACCGAATCAACTGAGTCATTATTGACTCGAACCCAAGTCATGGCTGCTTGAATATAGTTAAAACTATGTGATGGCTGCTGCTATATTTCAAGCAAGTTGTGAATGAGGTACTTTTGACTATTGTTGGAACTTAATTATCGACTATAAAAGTTACAAGTTAATTTTTTTGACTGATTTACGGATTGAAGTTTAAGTTATGTTACTTACCATATTACACACCAATATCGTGGTGAATTGTCGCGATATGTTTTGCACACGGCGACTTATAAAGCAATTTGTTAATGGTTTGTTCGGCTATAATATCAATTGTTTGGTCACTTAATTGATTACTTACTTGATCAGATGTTGTCTTAAAAAACTTCGTATTGGTGATTAAGTTTTTCAGTTTGAACTTATGCGACTTATTTCAGTCTCCGTTTTTGGTTTATTTCTTCGTTGTTGCATGCTCTTTTTTTGTGTTTGCTCTGAATTTAAACTATATGATATTTTGTTTTTTCCGGTTTAGTGGCCGAACACTTCATGTAAATGATACTTAATCTTGTCTTCATAATCACCGATATTTGTTCAGAATATAACTTAAAAGATTTCGACATTAATGAAATGGAGTCACGGAGAGTTCAAGAACTACTTTCCAATTATGCATAATTTTAGATAAAAATGGATTGGTGGGTTACGATAATGAAATGTTGTTCAATGTCCATGATTGTCCCTGCTAATAAATTACCTTATTACTTGTTCAAACATAATATTTATTTTTGATTAAAACATTGACATTTAATAGGGAACCCAAATCGTATCTTCTAAGTAGCATACTTCGGCTTCAATAACTAAGGAAAAGGAAATAGTCATAGTTGGAAAGTTATAAATTTCACTTTTGTTAAGCATTCGATATAATTCACCGTTATTATACCGTTTTTCTCACTAAGTATTGCTGTATGCTGTAATGTGTAAAGTAATTTACTTTTATATTCCAACCGTAACTTTTGAATAATAATTGAGCTGTTTTATTTTTATTCAAAGGAAAAAATAATCTGATAGTCTGATTTAACAATTGAACTACGCGTATTAAATTTAATCTATGACCTGTCAGTTAATGATTGATAATTCTTCTGGAAACTACCATAAAGTTCCTAATTTCTTGGTCGATACTCTTGATAGTTCATAAACCAATGTTCCCTCCCTCTGATCGCCGATTGTTGAGAATCCTTAGGATTTTCCAATTGTGACAACGTCCGCAATAGAGTCCATGGACCTTACGAAATCAGAAAACATTCCCAAATCTGGAGCAGTGCCCTGAAACACGATCATTATTAGTGGTTAATTTCATTCTGTGTAAACATAAGAATATTCTGTATATTATGTTTCGAATTTGTGAATTGTGAAGTGAGACAGCGAGTCTTATACAATACAGCGAGTCTTGTACAACTGTGGCAGGACACCGCATACCTTATAACCTAGTACTATGCCATATTATGTTGTGATCGTATTATGCGTTACAGTGTTAAGGTGTTACAGTGTTATGAGTTACAGTGTTAGGGTGTTACAGTGTTATGAGTTACAGTGTTAGGGTGTGTTAAGGTAGTGTTAGGGTGTGTTGTAGATGCTAGCTATATACTTATATACTAAACCTAAAAACTTATTACTTGTCTAATAAGATTGATAATAATTGATATGACGGTGGCGATGCTAAATCGTACAGTAACCAACATGTTCAGTGTACACGTGTGGGCGGAGTGCGCGCGTTGCACGTGACAAATTATTCGTGTTACCAGGTCACGTGATATTTGAACATTGCGCGTGTAGACGCATCTTGTCTTGCGTTAAATGTTTAATTTTCCCGCTAAAAAAGGGTGGCTGTTGATTGAATTATTTTGAATTTTCTTGGCGATTGTAAACTGTAAATCGCACGGGGTATTTTGTCGTTAATGCATTTTATTAGGTTGCACCTTTGCAGGTCGCAACCCCTTGGTAACAAAAACATTCTCACTATGTACAATATATGAGTGTATTTTTGATCTTCAACCAATTAAGTCCGGAAAAAATTATGTTTCAGAGACGAAATGGTCGAATTTCGCCAACCCTATTGTTATAAGGTAAAAGTGAGCGCTAAATAAAGACAAGCTTGCTTTACAACCGGCACTTTGCACTTTGGCCGCTGTTCGTAGCTTTAAAAATGTATTTTATTAGTATCATTTATTCTGAGCTATCTGGCTAACGAGTTAATTCTGGCTGTACACTTTCACTTTCACTTTCACTTTCACTTTCACTTTCACTTTCACTTTCACTTTCTACTTACTCCCAGTCTTTGTGCTTCCTCCATCAGCTCTTTTGCTTCTTCTATCTGAAAAATATACCCTCTTAAGTAATAAGTTCGGAATTCCATGCTTTTAGATATATGATTTAAAGATTTTATCAGTCTAATATAACCTCTATATCTAATATAATGAGTACTTACCATAGACTCTACTACTCCTATGATTTTGCTCAGCTGAAATTAAAATATTTTTGGTTTGAAATTAGTGTTAGCAGAAAAAACAGTACATTCTCGAAATAAATAGTCCTAATTTTAGACGAAAATATTCGCGATCTTATCGAAAGCTTGTAGTCGATATCTACATATATTGTGTGTTGTTGCCTTTTTATTTGCGTTAAATTTAGCGAAACAAATTGTGTAATCAAAAGTTGGTGACGCTATCTAATTGTATCCTGGAGACTTTGTGATGACATCAACTGTGAAAGGCTGCAGAATTAAATTCCAATAAATATTTTTAAAAACTAACATTGTCAGCGGCTCAATGGTCTAGGGGTATGATTCTCGCTTTGGGTGCGAGAGGTCCCGGGTTCAAATCCCGGTTGAGCCCGATCTTTTTCATTTTTTCGAGGTATATTATAGTGGCTGATTCAGAATCGCATGCAATACTCATACGGCAAATTGGTTTAGCAGTATGATTATCGTTCCGGGTAATTAATGCCAAGGGTATCAATCACAGGTGAAATTTGTTATGTCCGTTTTTATATATTTATAAATATGCCTATTCAATGTTGCGAAAAGGTATAATTGTAATTACAAAATATAATTTGTACTGGCAAAATGAAGTATTTGCAGCGGCTCAATGGTCTAGGGGTATGATTCTCGCTTTGGGTGCGAGAGGTCCCGGGTTCAAATCCCGGTTGAGCCCGGTCTTTTATTTTTTCAAAATATTAACTGCTTCATTACTTATGATAGCCTAAAAACCGGGTTCCATAATTTTATGATTACGATTACTTAAATTATTTGTCCCTCGAATAATTATGATAATCTAAGATCCATTCTAAAGTACTAGGCTTATACATTTTCTCATATAATACCACATAGGATATGCATTTTAATGTACATTGTACATATATGTAGTATTTCGATTATCACTACATGTCGACCACCAAATGGCTGTACTCATCACCTTCTCTTTTGTTTTGTAAAGCCAACTACCACTTACGACCATTTCTCACCGGTTTCATCGTCAAAATAACCGCGGAATTTTGCCAATTATCCTCATCCAACAAATCTAATAAAGTGAATAAAACGCGATATAATTGGGAAATCTGCCCCCCCCCCTAGCTTGTGGTATATAGTAGGCTTGTGGTATATAGTAGGCTTGTGGTATATAATAGGCTTGTGATATATAATAGGCTTGTGGTATATAATAGGCTAGTGGTATATAATAGGCTTGTGGTATATAGGCTAGGTGTGATACACGCCAGCTGTTGATGGCGCTTCATGGTACACACTAGTATTACAGCTAAGCTATAACCGTAACACTGTGATGGGCATAGCTATATTTAGAATTTTGAACGAGAAGAAGGCTCTTATTTTGCTCACCTTTTTGTTTATGCCACTCCAAGAAGTCATTGTTGAATCAGTTTAATCACTAGAAATCTTTTTTGCCCCTAGAAAAGTTATTCAGTCACTTTCTATTTTTTGTTTGTTATTGAACTTAGAATTAGCGATGTACAATACAATACAATGTAGTGCTCAATACAACTGTTAATAATGTATTGTATTAGCGAATATAAATGTAAACTAAAGGAGATAAAAGGTATACTAAAAGAGGTGAAATTTAGACTAAAAGAGTTGAAATCTAGACTATTAGAGGTAAAATTTAGACTAAAAGAGTTGAAATGTAGACTAACAGAGGTAAAATGTAGACTAGAGGAGATAAAATGTAGACTAGAAGAGATAAAATGTAGACTAGAAGAGATAAAATGTAGACTAGAAGAGATAAAATGTAGACTAAGATAGGTAAATATCTAAGAGCTGTATCAAATCCAGCAAAGAAATGGTATAAGTGAATATATTGAAACCCTAAATTGAACTTGCTCAAAAAGACACAGCACAACACTGGCAACTGAAAGAAGTGACTGGGTAGATTGAGGTGGTGGGAGTGTGGGAGTGTGGGCACTGTTGAGAATACTGGTGGGGGCTGTTGAGAGTAGTGTTTCACTGTTGAGGTCTATTAATGGACAGAGTGTTGCGACCATTGTACCCTTTTAAACATTCTGAAGCTCATTAATCAAAAAGAGATATTTCAATAATTCTCCCGATAATAAATTGTAAATAGGGATTGATTACTGATTAGTGGTGTCGGTAATATGAGGAAGTTTTCATTACAGTTAATGAAGTAATAAGGGAAATAGTTGCCCACGTAGATTGTCCAATACATTTTCATGGTTATTAAGAGGTTAAGAAGCCCTGTGAAAGATACAATTTTGATTTACAGAATTCGCTGATTTTTACTGTTTTTGGAAACCAGGGTTTTGGGAGGTTTTACATTGAACTATCTGATTTAGTTTTATTGTGTTATTGAGTTTCTTTTCGTTCTTTCAAGAATATTTCCGATCCTATTTTACAAGACTCAATAATAACGATGTTATAATAAACAAAAGGGAATTCTATGTAAAGCTACTACATAAAAAGTCACATTCATTCTTTGAAACTGGTATTCAATACGAAATATCTCGACTCATACTAAAGATTTTACGATTTAATTTCAAATCTATAAGCACTAAGCAGTCCCAAAGAAATAGTTATAAGATATAAAATAGTATATACCTTACGAGACATATTTATGTTTAACATAATTCCAGTGACCTAAACAAAAATATGGGAATTTTTTCCGAAAACCGTCATATTTCGTACCCCAAATTCAGGGGTGTAGGAATGATTTTCTTCATGGGGGGGCCAAATTCAAAATATTTTTTGGCGCTTCGCGCCACACCCTAAATTTTTTGGCGCTTCGCGCCAAATCCTGAATTTCGAGGGTAAGGGCAAAAGGAAATTGCAGCATGTGCGGTATCGCGATTTTTCACGTTTGCCGCGACAAATCGCGATTTTTCAGATTCTGGCCTCTCGACAAATCGCGATTTTTTTCAGTTCTCCGCGTCAAATTGCGCATTTTCCTTTAAATCTACGGACCAAATTCTCGTTTTCTATAATTAGTATATGAAACCAATCAGTATCGCATCCACAACCTTCCGAATGTAGGCACGGACTTCAAAAATCCGAAAACAGAAAAATACATTTTCGGCTCATAATGATCAAGGTAGCATGAAACATGAACTAAAGTAATTTCCAGAAAAACTTTGAAAAATTTTGACTTAGAAAATTTTCGGTCCGAGTCATTCTCGATACGTACCTCTGAAAGCAGAGCTCCCGCTTCCGAGCTCGTATTGCGAAGGGGAGGCCTGCCTTCCGAGATCGCATTACAAAGGCCAAAGGGGAACCCTCGAGTCCAAAATCATATATCGAACTTCGAAAACCGAAAAAAATATTTTTGGCTCACAATGATCAGGGTAGCATGAAACATGAACAAAAGTAGTTTCCAGAAAAACTTTGAAAAATTTTGACTTTGAAAATTTTCGGTCCGAGTCATTCTCGATACGTACCTCTGAAAGCAGAGCTCCCGCTTCCAAGCTCGTATTGCGAAGGGGAGGCCTGCCTTCCGAGATCGCATTACAAAGGGGAACCCTCGAGTCCAAAAACATACATCGAACTTCGAAAACCGAAAAATATATTTTTGGCTCATAATGATCAGGTTAGCATGAAACATGAACAAAAGTAGTTTCCAGAAAAACTTTGAAAAATTTTGACTTTGAAAATTTTCGGTCCGAGTCATTCTCGATACGTACCTCTGAAAGCAGAGCTCCCGCTTCCGAGCTCGTATTGCGAAGGGGAGGCCTGCCTTCCGGGATCGCATTACAAAGGCCAAAGGGGAACCCTCGAGTCCAAAATCATATATCGAACTTCGAAAACCGAAAAAAATATTTTTGGCTCACAATGATCAGGGTAGCATGAAACATGAACAAAAGTAGTTTCCAGAAAAACTTTGAAAAATTTTGACTTTGAAAATTTTCGGTCCGAGTCATTCTCGATACGTACCTCTGAAAGCAGAGCTCCCGCTTCCAAGCTCGTATTGCGAAGGGGAGGCCTGCCTTCCGAGATCGCATTACAAAGGGGAACCCTCGAGTCCAAAAACATACATCGAACTTCGAAAACCGAAAAACATATTTTTGGCTCATAATGATCAGGTTAGCATGAAACATGAACAAAAGTAGTTTCCAGAAAAACTTTGAAAAATTTTGACTTTGAAAATGTTCGGTCCGAGTCATTCTCGATACGTACCTCTGAAAGCAGAGCTCCCGCTTCTGAGCTCGTATTGCGAAGGCTAGGGGATGCCTGCCTTCCGAGAACGCATCACAAAGGGGAACCCTCGAGTCCAAAATCATACATCGAACTTCGAAAACCAAAAAATATATTTTTGGCTCATAATGATTATTTTATAATAAGTCAAAAACTTTGAAAAATTTTGACTTATTATAAAATTTTTGACTAAATAAATTTTCGGGGAAAATTTTTTTTTTCCCAAAAATTTTTAGAAACCTAAATTAAAAAGTTGGCCCTTTTTGGCCCCTTGCCCAGATTTCATGGGGGGGCGATGGCCCCCCCTGCCCCCCCGCTTCCTACACCCCTGCCCAAATTATATCATGGTATTTGGGGATTTTTTCACCTCCTTATTTTACAAAAATGAAACCTCCTGTTTAATCAATGAAGTTTCTGTTTCGAAGATGTCAAATTTTGGTTTGCGACGACTGCTGTCTTGAAGCATCTTCTAAAATCTAAAAGTTACCAATGTACACAATATTTTTGTCGGGAGGTTAGGGCATCTTTCTACTTTCGAGTGTAATTTCATTGAGAATTGTTGGATAACGATCAACTGCACCGATGCATTCTTGAAACGAATCTTCTCCAGCATCTCCAGAAACAAGAGTATATATTCTTGTAAAGTTCACTGTAGAAAATAGGGTTCAGAATGCTGTTGATGGGTAGAACCAGCAGAGCTAGCACTTCAAACAGTACGGGAGGAGGACTATCACTAACTATTTGGAAGTACACGGCAGCCCCGATGAAAGTCAACCAACTTGCTAGCTGTGTTCCTATTATCAGGGAAATCTTCAGAGCTAGTGAGGGGGCTGCAGCGTTTTGTCTGTTCATCCCACCTCCAATGTCTCCCACCTCACGTCGAGACGTTAACTGCTTTCTAACTATGATGAGGTAAGTGAGAGTAACTATGACCAGAAGTAGGGACACTGTGATAAGGTAGGAGAGTTTATAGATGAGGTAGGATTGTTGTTCTTTAAAGACGTTGTGAACACACAGACGGGTGTTTCCATAATATCCGATCTCTTTGATATCGAATATGTTGTCTGTACTGGTGATGATGTTGAGGTCTCTGACTGTTGTGTACAGATCAGTTTTGTTATATGTTTCATGTAGGTGGTTTAACCTGGTCATGTTTACATAGCTAGAGCTGATGAAGGGATTATCTAGAAAGTTTTTAAAGAACACGTCTGTGCGGAAGATATTTTGTATGGCAACCAAAGGAAGGATGGGAATCAATGCGTTGATCACATTTATGGCAATAAGTATTGCAGATGTTATGAATACTGTTTTGTGTTTGGTTTGATGGTGTACTCTGACACAATTAATACACCTGACAATACTCATAAGGGCTATTGCACTGAGGGACCCATGTGAAGCTATTGAGAATGTCAGTCCAAGTACCTGGCAGAAGATGCTTGATCTCCAACTTTCATCTTGAAGACAGTAGTTACCATTTGCACGAAGAATCAGGGCTGCGACCACAACACCACAGTTATACAGACCCATACTACCATCAAAGAAAAGAACCTGGAGACAAAACAATCTGTCAACTTTGCCGGCTGATGTGGAGGGAGTGTTGTTGTAGCATCTGATTCCTCCTCTCAAGTTCAGTATGATCATTGAAACTCCTGCAAAAGCTGTGAAAGAAAGCAGAAAGTAAGAACTGAGGAGTAGGTTGGATGACCCATCTGAGTTACAGGGGTCACATTCGTCACGTCCGTTGGAGCAGTGTTTGATATTATCACAAGTTTTATCAGGAGTCACCCACTCTGTACTCTCAGAGGTATTGAGGGAGCAATAGAAACGTGCTGGACATTCTGCCTCATCCGCACCGTTAGAACAATCTAATTCTCCGTCACACAGTTTATATAATGGGCAGGTTTCATAGCTTTCGGGGGCACAACTGAAATGAGCCTGTGTAAACATACCCATATATATTAACACAATTCTTTCGCAAAACTTATCCCATTTGCCTTCAGCAAAGTCAGGAGTGTCAGAGCAGTTTGTTTTACAGTAGCTAGAAATATCTCCATGGTTATTATCAACGAGCGCTTGTATGATAATATAGTTGAGGCATTGGTTAATAGGGTTGATGGGGTTGATGATAGGGTTTTCATTATCCAAAATTGCAGAGCAGTCAAAAGACTCAATATTACGAAAGGTGCATGAATAATTTAACTGTGAAATTGCGTCCTTTTTTCACAATATTCTCTTTGTGACAAGCAAATACTA